CACCTGGTCAGCACTTCCATGGGTGGCTCAAGTGCATGCCTGCTGCATCGCGGTGGTCATGGGGCTCTGAAGCGACACTCGCCAACTGTGCCACATCAGGCGTCTCGCCTGCAAAAAAAAACCCATCACACAAGCGGAAAACACTGGAAACACCTAGGAACCTCTCTTGGGTGGCTCAGATAGGCGAGCGCGCTCCGCCACTCGCAGAATCACTGCTCGCAAATGGCCTGAACCAGCCGCGAATGATCCACGACACATGGCATCGAGGCCAGCGTGCGACTTCTGGACGTTTGCGAGTACGCACCCTGCGAGCAGTTGAGCGCGCTCGGTGTTCGAACGCCACGTCTGGCACATCCGCGTGCAATGGGTGTGCCGAGGGGGGTCGCGCGGTGCCCGCTCGTGGTGCCCGCTCGTGGGCGCCCACGCACGGTGCCGCCCGGTGCTCGCCCCGTGGGCACCTCGTGCGCCGCGTGGGTGCGCCAAGGCCTCGCCTGCTGGACCGCGCGCGCCCCGTGGGCGCGCCGTGTGCCGGGCGGGTGTGCTCTGAGGTCTCGCCAGGTGTCCGCCCGTGGGCGCGTCGTGCGCTGGGCGGCTGCATATCTTTGCTCTTCTCTTTCTACGGTAGAGGGAAGCAATCACTGAACCCCCCCCCCCTCCCCCCCAAGCTCAATGTTGGCACGCGCGGGGGAGACTGCGGTCGAAGTGCATCTCATCAGACCCACCGCCAGCTTTGAACATTGGGGGGAGGGGGAAACGTTGATGGATGAATGTGGCATGTGTTCGCTAATTTGTTCCGAGGTCTGTAAGACGGTATTCGGATCCACCCCCGCACCCCCCGGACTTCACGGCCCGCCTTGTCGTATTGTCTGCCGTATATGATCCTGCGCACTCGACAATCCCATATAAGAGCTCGTGCAGTCCAAGGCGGTCCCTCACCGACTCTAAATATCCCCTGAAGAACATTCGATTCGCGCGTGCTTAATCATCAAATGATACCAAGTTTGAACCACCCTTTGCTCAAAAGCGGGGCGGGGAGCACGCGCGCGCGCGTCGTCACGCGCGCGGGCCAGAATCATTCGAGATGCTCTGGTTTCGTGGGGACTTCAAAGTCGAGTGCCCCGCAACATGAAACAACAACAACAACAACAACAATTACTAGCACGTGGGGACACACCGTTCTCACCAGTGCCAGGGTTTTCATAGGAGGCGGGCAATACCCCCACTTTGTGGGGGGGCCGGTTCAAGCTCTACCAAATTTCCAAACGACTCTTCGCCACCACCCACACCCAGCTTCCCGCCCTATGACGTTCGGACACTTCACTTCGTGGCATGCGGACGACCGTGGCTACTATTCAGGGCCCCGCGGCCGACGACGACGGCGTGCGCGCGCGAAGAAAAAACGAATGTGTCCCGCATGGTATTATTTGACAGGGATGATGGCCCTGGCAGGTGCGCAACCGTTGTCGCAGAAGTTCGAAAAAGTTGCTCGCAAAAGCCCGTTTGACAGAAATGTTTAAAAAGTGTTGGGTTTCCTACGAATCCGCAAGAGCGCGCGGGATGAGATTTTGACATTTTTTTGTTGAAAAACCATTGGTTTTTTGATGTTTTTATGTTAAAATCGCTGCGAACACTAAGGTTTTGGAAGGATTTCGTCTTGCGCGCGCGAATGTCCACTTTACCTTATTTTTTGCAAGGGATTCTTGAAATTTGATTATATTAGAACAAGAAATGTCATTTTCTATTGTTTTTTGCAAGGGAAAGCGGATTACAACAAAACAACCGGATCCTGTACACACCCTCTTTTCTGAGGCTTCCTCACGAAAATGATGAAAATGTAGCTGCGGCCTAGGCGGCGCAGGGGGGGCGCGCACCAGGGGGCCCAACAATAATTATTCTTTAGAATACAACAACAACAACAACAACAACAACAACATTGGTTTCGCAACGTGGGTTGTCAAAACAAAAACATGCGCTCGCATTCTTGCGAATTCTTAAGAAAGCTGTCGTTTTCAACCTGCTCATGGCACGTTACCAAAAAGAGCCCCCGCGCGCGCATGTCGAAATCGTTCGAACGCCCTTGCGCGCGGCCTGTCGCAAGAAAGCTTTGCAACAAACGCACCGAACTGCACGCGCGCGCGTCGTCGCGCGCGCATGCCGAAATCTTTCAAGCAATTCGGTTCCGCAAGGAATTCAAAATGGAGTGCCCCGAAAACCTATGAACACGTATCGTTTGGCAACATCAGTTTTTGTTAACCTTTGGCTTTGGCAAATTCTGAACAAAACATTGTCTATTTAACTTCATGAGCCTCTCGCGACGCATGTCGAAATCAGTCAAACACCCTTGAGCGCGTGCTGGGGGGGGGCACGATTCCTTCGAAATAAATGTTTCGCAACAGCCGCTTCTTTAAAAGAGTCCCGCACGCGCACCTGCGAATTCTTTACACAAGCGAAGTCTTTTTCAACATGTACATCACATTCTTCCACGTGGGCCTCTCGCGCCGCATGCCGAAACCTCTCAAACCATCATCGCCGACGCGAAGGCACCGCCATCGTCATCGGCGTGATCGACATCGGCGCCGTCCTTGGCCTTGCCGTCGTCATCGTCGTCGTCGTCACCAGCATCGCTACTAGTATCGCCGTGCGTACAATCGGACCTAGGCCAGAAGAGTATCCTTCAAGAACATGAGGCCCTCCGCCGGCCAAAACACACAGAACATCCAACGGTACCCTCCCAAGGATGCACAGGAACCTCCAACAAACAAGAAGAACACCAGGGCACCCTCCCCGAACCGACCTCGGTCTTAAACCTCGGTACGACTGTACCGTTGTCGATTTCGCCACAATACCGCGCCCGCCCAAGGTGCCGACTCGCACTGCGGTGCCCACTGGGGTGATCAGTGCCACCGCGGCCGCGTCGGTCGCGCCAAACTAGCTGGCCGCTGTGCGCGCGCATGCGCGGGCTAGCGCGGTCGCAGAGACGCACCAGCCAACACCAAGCTCTCACGGCAATCGCCGCCGCATGAGTTTTGCAAACCAACTTGCGGGTGGCTGGGTGGGATGATTGCGCGAGCAGTGGAGTTGTCAACTCCATGTTTTCCTAAATCAATTGCACTACATAGCGTTTACCACATAGTTTCCACAACAAGAATACAGATATTACACGATAGAGATAGCACCCGGAAGCTTACGCCAGGCAGAGCCTGCACCACAGAACCTGCACAGCATAGCTTGCAGAACATGCATTGCACCACGCAGCCTACACATAGCTTGCATCACGTGGCGTGCGCCGCATAGCTTTCACCACGTAGCCTCACCACATAGCTTACTCCACATAGCTTGCACTGCAGAGCCTGCATCAACGTTCTAGCACAATGAAGCTTACATAGCATAGTTTGCACCATGTACCTTCCACATCCACTGCATCCACCCGGCAACAACGCACCGTTTGTGGCCCACAATGGCAAACATGTGTTTGTCATTTTTCTGGAACTGGCTGCACTCCCGAGTCCAGACCGCGCCCTCCTCTATCAAAGCGCGCATGCACAGCTTTCTACAATGTGTGGTAATTTTTGCGCGAGTCGAGAACTTAATCTGACCGAGCGCGAGCGCGAAGAAAGCCGCCTGCGGGAAGAACAACCCTGGCCAGCGGATACCTCGGGGCATTGCCCTGCTCCCCCTTATCTGCCCTCCTCCTTGTTGGCACATGAGATAGCAGCACGTCTCAAGACGCGGAAGACGCGACACGACCTTGTATGAGACAGAACGAAGGCGGGTCCGGCAACCCAGAACCGTAAAAGCCACTGTGAGAACGGACATGTCGTGAACACCCTGTGCACTTTGCTCTTCAGAGCAGTTCTGTGGAACGGAACGCCGTCCTCATCGGCAGAGCTGCACCTGAAAGTAGAGCTCCTTTCCCTCCAGCTTGGACGTGGGCGGGCCCTGGGCCACCCCGAGAAAGAAGCTGCTCTCTTCAAGCCACAAGGCGGAGCGAACGACACATGATTATGTCAACCTTCATTCACCACGCCGCGCTGCCAGTGCAATCGTCCTCGGCGAAGTCAAAGGACAAGTCGCATGGATGACAAGTCACATCGAAGTACCGATGGCATGCTGCCATGCGTTTTCGATGACGAGCCACATCGAAGCTGACCTGCGTGAAACCACCCAGTGAGCCTGTACAGCCACTCGGAGAAAGCGAAATCTGGAAGCACTGAGTAGCGCCCCCGCACGCTTTCGGCCCTGGACTGAGACTACGTTCTGTTGTACGTGTATTTTGTTTTTTGCACCTCGAGCTCCACACACCCCGCCTGCACTTCTCCTGTCGTCACTGGCAGACCTGCACTTCAAAAAAAAATAGAATCAGGACCAGCTGCTTAGCAGCGCTGGCGTGGGAATCGGCCAACTATTGTTTCGCCGAACCCAGAAGGAGCGTCGGCAGGCTTGACGCAGATTTGTGCAAATGCTCAGGGTCCTCCCCCCCCTTCCATAGATCCGCGCCGAAATTTCAAAAGTGGCGCGCGGCATAAGCAAGAATAAGCGCTCAAACGGTATTGGACCGTATTACCAGGTCGCTGCCAGGCGCGGCGGGTCTGAATCATACCAGCGGGCGCAACCTTATCACTTTGGGGTCGATGTCGCGCGTGGTGGGTGTGAGCCCTTCCAGCGTGACCAGCGGGTGTGAACCCAGAGAGCCAGGGAAGCCGAAGAGAGAGAGAGAGAGAAGTACCCAACCAGCCCCTTCCAACCAACTTATATTTATGCGATCCTGTACTCTGCCTCTCCATGTGCCACTCGCTCGTGGCTCTCAAAACTCCGCTGACGCGCACATGCTGCGTATGATGCAGAGTTCTTCTCGATGGGCATCTAGGTAAAGCTGTGACGCTTGATTTTTGTCCACACCAGTAACCAAGAACTTTGCACCATACGACTGCAAATGTGGCGGCTGCTCCGCGCGCGCGCGATTTGAACTGGCAAACCTGGACTGACGGGCCGCAGGCGACTCACAAGGCCGGGTGGCCCCACTGCCCCATGGCTGGCCACGGGAAGAGCTGTGTCCCCTGCTGCCTGGCCAGGTCCGTCCACTGGCAGGAGCCGAACGGCAAGTACGTTACCGAATTCGGGTGCTGCTCGAAGTGGTATTCGCTGGCGGACACCTGTGGACAGGCGCCCGCCGATGCTGACAAAAACTCGCCCGGCGGCTTCGACAACGCCGTCTGTGGGCCGGCTCCCTCCGCGAGGCCACTGATCTGCGGAGGTGTTGCTGGGAGCCTAGCGGCTGGCTGGGCAGCCGGCGATGATTGCTCCAAACTGCCACGGTCGGGGTCGCTGTTGCTGATGACAAGCCGGCGGTAGTTCGGATTTCGAATGGTCCCAGCTGTCTCCAGCATCGCTATGTTGGCCTCGAACCCTTGGATGTGCGCGGCAGTCACCTGCAAACGACGGCTGTCGCTGTCAGGATGGTTCGAAAACCGCTGCCACCCGTGCCACATATTCTTGAAGCACCTCGCGGCGGTCGGAGTCTTGAAGTTCAAGAACACGTACCCCTTGTTGAGGCTGGATTTGAAGTCGCGCGGCATGTAACAGAAATCATACATGCCCTGGAAGCCAGACTTGTCCAGCTCGCTCACAAACTCGTCCTGCTGGCACCTCTCTGGCACGTTTCGCACCATCACCGTGGTGATGCTATGGGGCCCGCTCGTGCTCGTCATCTCCTTGGCGAAGCGGGGATTTGTCCATATCCACCGCCTGTGTGACCGACATCCTGGGACCCCACGGGGCGGTGGATATGCATATTTTCAGCTCCCTGGAGCTCGAATGCATACAGAAGTGCCCTGTGACGTACCCAACCCATTTGCATCAAGCGACAAAAGGAGTTGGCCCACAGTTGCCAGGACAATGACATTGCAGGCGCCGTTATATCTTGTACAAGCTATATGGGATGCGCTCACGTGGCACGATTCACAGGACAACAACGGAAGGACGAGGAGCGAGGGCCCAGGCTTCAAGAGGACATGGGGGCGGGAACGAAGGGCAGGAGAGGGACGCGTGGAGGGCCGAAAGCGCGGCAACAGCAGAGGGAAGTTGGCAGGGGGCAGAGGACAACGACGAAAGTGACGGGAGGAGCCCGAAGAGTGTTGTTTTTGTCGGTAGTACATTAAAGATGCAGCGCTGCCTGCGCCATGTCGCCGCGGCGCTCGAACAAACAATTCAAACTGCTTATAGCTAGTGCAGGAAGCGAACGAGGCCTAGCTCGCCCGCCAGCTTCTGTGCTCCCTTCGTGGCGATCCCGGAACTCGAAACAACCCTCAGGCAAAATTAAAAAACGCCAGTCCGCTGGACCCCAAGTCCGCGTGAGACGTCACTCCGCTGGACCCCCCAGCAGCCCTCAAAAGTGGCGATGGTTTCGCAGATCGTAAACCACCCAGGGATGGAGAGGTTTCCTGGTGTCCGCGTAAGACGTCGCTCCGCTGCACCCCCAGCAGACCTCGAAAGTGGCGACAGTTTTGCAGATCGCAGCCCCCCAGGGATGGCCAGGCAGGAGGCAAACTGGCACGCAGGAAGGAGCGAGGTGAGAGGCAGGAGAGAACAGGAGAGGAGGAGGGGGGCGGGAGGAGGAGAAGACGCGCGCGCGCAGTGCTCTATTCAAAACGAATACCAAACGCAGGAGGGTTGGGAATTATCCGCCGCCTGCCGATGCCCCCGAAGATCGATCCCCCAGGAGGTGGCTATGGATACATCTCCGCCCCGGATCTCGGAGGCGGCTGGGGCGTCTGCGCTGGGTGGGCCCCGAGAGAAGCGGCCAAGACAGGTGGACGAGGTCAAATCCGCTCAAGGTCAATCCCCAGATACGAGACCGATGTTGCATCACAGCAGCAATTCGGCCCCTGACTTTCGTCCTGGGCTCGGTTGAGTGAAGTGATGAATTTCGGGGTCCTTACGTGGGATAGAACATCACTTCACTAATCTGGGGCCCCTGCGGCCTCAGTGGGCCCTAGGGCACAAAATTAATGACGTGATGGTTTTCGGGCCTGTGACCAGACCCATCCCGGAGTCGAGGCTGACCAGAGTTCTCGAGCCGCGCCCAGCCGTGGCGACGCACGGGCCCAGTTGTGTTCCCTTTCCTCTGGCAGAAGCCCGTGAACGGCCACCTCGCGCCCCCCCGCTGGCCCCCAAACTCGGATCCTTGATCTTGTTTGCTTGAGCCACTCGCTTCTTGCGGCCACGGCCGCGACACTTGCGCCCCTGCACGGGTCGGACGACACGGGGGGGGTCGCAGGGGTGCAGGGTTAGCGAGGGAGCTCGCGTGGCCGCTTTCCCCGGCGCCTCCCGGCGCTGGAGGCGCCGAGGCGAGGCGTCGAGGAACGCGCCCGGCGGCGGGACCGAGGACAGCTGCCTGCAGCAGGCTTCGTGACTGGAGGCCTCCTGGGTGTGGTGCGAGCAGATGGGGTCGGACAACCGCGCCGCTATCGGCGACGTCGGCGGTGCATCGGCGACGCCGGCATCGAGAAAATCGGGCTCCACATCGAGTTGCATCCTCGATGCATTGGCGATGCGGCGCGGTCCACCGACCCTATGCACTCGGACCCCATCTGGGAGGCATAGAGCGTCTCTAGAGCTATCTGGAGGTCCATCTGGTGCAATTGTGCATACCAGATCCGTGTTTGGCAATCCCAGGGCCCGAAACACGGCCCGCGGAGGCCGAAAAGAGCAACAGAAAGAACACACACATGAAACCAAACTCGAGACTGCCACCGCCTCATTGAGGGGCAACGGTAGGGCGGGACTGGCATAGGGGGGATGCGTCGACCTGGAATCGGCGATACGTCGCCGATAGATCAGCGATAGCCCCACGATAGTGAGTCCGCACCTTCCTGGGGGGGGTGGGGCTATCGGGCCCCTATCGGCGATCGATGGGCGGTTGGGGGTCGATGCATCCCCCCCTATGCCTATCACCCCCTATCGTTGCCCCCGACTCATGCCCAAACAAATGCTGCGCCGCCTCAGGCCCCCAGCTAGCTCCAGGCTGCCTGCCACAGATTCCCTGACCCCCTCCCCTCTCGGAGGAGAGCTCGAGGAGACAACGGCGGCGGCGGTGAGACAACCGCGGCCAAATCCGCTCAAAATCGGACCCCAGACTACTCTTGGGGTCCAAACGCGCGAATTTTCCGAGCTGCGTCCAGCCGCTGCGACGAGGGGGCCCCCCGAGGGTCATCGACGCGACCCTTGTCTCACCTGACCCTCCTCTGACCATGCTCGGCTGCACGCAAGAGTGACCTTTGGCACGAGTGACCTTTGGTGTGCGGCTTTCGGGGGCCGCGAGGTGGCCCAATCCAAGCGCACAGGCCAAGTGCTGGGGGGACCCCTGTGGTCCCGCACCACAAGTCACTCTGGCGAAGGGCCACTCTTGCGCGCAGCTGACTTCCCCCTCCGTCCAACCCGACCTGCTCAGACCCCTGCGAGGGCTGCGGCTGCTGCGCGGCGCCGTCTGCCACCCGGGGCTCCTGCTGCTCGCCTCCGGGCCGCCACCGATCGGGCATTGCCAGAGCCTGGGATCCTGTCGGTGCATGTTTCTTTGACTACCTACCAGACCACCCCAACCCAACCGGAAGACCCGAATTTCGGGTTGGGGGGGTAAGGGTTCCACACGTGTTTTTTCTATGTTTCCCGACACCCCCCCACTGGAAATCGAGGGTAAATTTGAGCCTTCGGGTTGGGTTGGGGTGGTTTGGTGGGTGGTGATTCGTCACGCCAGCTGCGCAGTTCCGGGCCCTGGGACCATCACAGATCGACCGACTCGAGAAATGCAGCAGGGAGGTGGGGGGTCCAGGGCTCCAATCGTGAGCTTCGCTTGCGGTGTCCCGATCTTGAGGCAGCGCAGGATCTCAGGGGAGGTGTTCATGGGAAGGCTTCGGGGTGCGCACGAACAGCCATCCGGGTAGTCCTGCCTGGCCCCAACGGGCCCGCCCCAGGCAGTCCCAGCTGGCCTGACAAGAGGCCCCGCGAGTAGCCATCGGTCGGACGAAGTAGGTAGAAACATGACGTAGGAATGCGTTGGAAGTAGATTGGGTGTCCGCCCGCCCCCTGAAGAGGACGGAAGAGGCGAAGCCACTCGATCATTGAAGTAGGAAGGCGCTCAAAGTAACTTGGAATCTGGTATTCCAGAACTACCTCCTTTCGACGACCGACGGGTAGCCCAGGGCGGTCTCAACGGCCCCCCTGTGGGGCGCAGAGAGCCTCGGGGGCGCCGCCGGAGACGGGCGCCAGGCTGCCGAAACCGCCCTGGTCTGCTCGGGGGGCCTGCCGAGGCCAGCCAGGACTGTATACTCCAGATGTCGTAATAAAAGGGAGGGGGTCTGGACCCTCCAAGACAAGCCGTTTCAGACCTCCCCCGTGGGAGAACCCTCCAAAACATCGTCCCCAGACCCCCCCAGGCCCTCCAAGATAGCCTGGAAGAGACCCCCCCCCGAAATGAGACCCCCCTCCCTTTTATTACGAAATCTGGAGTACCTGCGCACCCCGAAGCCCTACCAGGTGCTCATGGCGTCGATCGCGCAATCGGATCGGAGCGGACGCAGACCGCATCGCCAGCGAGTCGCCACGGGTCGGCTCGACGTCGGAGCGCTGCGCCCGGCTCCTGCTACTAGCCCTTGCCGATGCCGGCGAGAACGGGGAAGGAGCGCCTCGAGTCGGAATCGCGCCTCCAGCTGTCGAATCGAATCGCATCGAATCTCAGTAATGCTATTCTACTGGCGAAGCTTTTGACGACAAAACGTAATCCAAACAAATAAACGTTTAAACGCCAAATGATCGGTATAGCGTTGGACGAATCTCGGCTGACTGAACGCGAGAACGCGAGCGCCCGCGCGATGCTCCTTGCTGCCCTCTGATGCCCCGCCAAGCTGCCCTTCCAAGGTGTCCCCAGCATTTTCCAGAGATGCCCGAGCACCCCTCACCGGAACCACAGGGTCCCAGAGGCTTCACACTGACGCAAAGAACTGGGGACACCCTGGGCCGGGAAGAGTTCTGGCAACTCCTGAGCTTGATGGCAAACAACGCCGATGCCTGCGCTGTCGCGCCGGGTGTCGCAGGTGCCGCTGTAGTCGCCAAACTCGCTCTCGGTGTCGGGGTAAGTGACCACAGTAGACTCGCAAGCCGCAGACTCGCAAGCCACAGCCTCGGAGTCGCATTTCTTCCCGTCCAATTCAGCCCTCCTGGCAACCTGATCGCCCACGAACATCGCTGATGGCGCTCACGCAGTCAACCAGAGTGGTCCTGAAGGAGCGAGCGCGACCTGAAACGCCAGAGCCTCGAGCACAAATAGCGATGAATTTGCCTACCACCGCATCTTGATCGCAGGTCGCTAGCGCACTGACAGCGTATGCTGCTCAAGCGGCTCACGGGCCAGCTGGCTAAATCGGTCTCAAGCCAACTGTCTTGCACCTTGGGATTGCCGTGCCGGTGGGGATGTTCACAAACGGGGACATCGATACAGTCGGGGCGTAGACCTAAGAAACCCTAAATAAGGAACGGGGCCCCTTTCTCCCATAAGTTGAACTTCGATTTCCCATGGAAACCCGCAGGCAAACCGGAGGCAAACTGCAGAACAATCAAGGAAAACCGAGCCCCTCCCCAACGAAAAGGGTTCCTTCTTCAGGGCCCCGACTGTACGCACTCCATCCAAACTTGCTGCCGTGGACCGAAACGTTCTCCGTCCTTCCCTTCCTCCCCCCAGGTCAAGAAAGTGCCACATGTGCAGTGTTCCCTGTTCGGGGGCCCTGGGAAGGGGGATAGATGGGTGGCCGCAAGTCCGACCACCACTCCGATCTTCCACCATTCAACTCGCGGACCGAGTCGGCGTATATTCTGACTCTATGCTCCCTTCTCGAAGGGCGCGGCGTATACAAGAGTTCGTCCAGCAAGGGGGGATTCGAATTGTGGTTGGAACATGTGTCCCCGATGGTGAAGGCGCCTCTTCTACAACATCGCCAGACTTATTGGCACAGCGACGTGAGACAAAACACCGCTGGACAATCCGGGAACATTACACGCGATGCCAACACCGGCGACACGCCAGAAAGGTCATGAGGAGACAGGGGGAGGACGGGAGAGAATAAGGCGAAACGTAGCCTGGTCTGCCAAGCGCCGGACTTTGGGCGATGTACAGGTACGAGCAACAAGGGCCCACATAATAAACTAAGAAGCGCACTGCCAAGACATCGCGCGGCGTGCCTCTGCCCTGGCCAACGCCACGCTCACAAATAACTTCAGAGGAGAGCCGGACAGCGGAGGGGGTGGCAGGGAGTTGCCAGGGGCCAAGAGCAGTGATGTGTCGAGCAGCTCGTGCCCGCGCAGGCCCAAACGGATGTCGCTGGAAGCCCCCGCAGAATTGCCTCACACGAGTGTGGGGAAAGGCGAGGGGCGAGGACCGAAGGGAGAGAGAGAGAGAGAGAGAGAGAGAGAGAGTGAGAGAGAGAGAGGGAGAAACAGTTGTTGCCCAGGGGGAGAGGATTCGGGCGGGAGGGCAACGAGGAAGGTCAGCGGAACGAGGCACGACAATCTTGTTCCAACGGACACTGCAATGGCGCTCGACTGCGCGCACTAGGTAAGCCCGGAATCACCTGAGGGCTAACCTGCGATCGGCGAGCCAACGCGCGAGACCTTGGCAAAGCACAAAGTTTCACGACGAGTACAATGGTTCGAACAACAGTTCGGTGGTGGAGAGGGACTCGGACCAAATGCTCCAGGGAGGCAAGAGGTTGCCAGCTGGCAGGCAATGGCTAACAACGTCACTGAATCGAGCCACCAACGATTTGGCAGCGTGGGGGCTCTGCGTAAGGTTAGGAACTTTGCATAGCGTGTCGCGGCGGCGGCCCCAGCGACACGCTGTGCGCTATGCCCTTCGAGCGGGTAACGTGTCGCTCCGATTGGTGGGACGGAAGGCTGGAACAATATCGGGTTGTTCACGCCTAGGGACCAGCCCGTAGATAGCGTGTCGCGCCGAGATGTGGTGCCCAGAGCAGGCGGCGCGACACGCTGAGCCAACGCCCCTGATCGTTTCAACCTCGGACTGACCATAGGCCGTGGACAAGGAGTCGGGCTCTGAGACGGTGAGGGTTGTGTTGCGCTCGACCGTTGCGGTGGGTGGCCGCTCAGCAGGAGCGCCGCCCAGCAGGAGCACAGTAGACGCATGCGATGGTACATCTTGCCATTCGAAATGTTGCAAGGGCGCCTAACTTCGCGCTTCGCGCTGCGCGAAGCGTGAATACCTTCGCGCTATCGCGCCGCCCCACAGGGGAGAAGAGGAGGATGCAGAGGAAGCGGAGCCGAACCGCCAAGCTCGAAGCGTGAATGAATTCGCGCTCTCGAGGGCTCCCCTGTGTTTGGGCGCATCTTTGATAGATTTTTCAGGCTCCCAGGGTGCACCAGAACTTCTGCGGGCTCCCAAGGCCATCATCGCGGGATCGGAGGCTTATGCGGGAGCACCCGCTGGCAGGCCGATCCCTTACTCGACATGCCTGCCGCGCCTCCGCGTGGAGACCAGAGGCTCTCCCGCCCCCCGCGGCGTTGCTCGGTCTCGTCTCCTGGATGCCGCGCATCGGGCACGGGTGTGCGGTCGGGTGTCGCGGCGGCGGCCCTGGCGGCACGCTGCGCGCTTGCCCTGCGAGCGGACAACGTGCCACTCCGATTGGTGGAACGGGAGGCTGGAGCAGCCTCCTGTCGTTGACGCCTATCGGGGCCGCAGGAAGGGGGAGGTGGAATACCGGGGGCGACCGCATCGTCTCTCGAGAAACCCGTGCACTCCGTGGCGATACGCGGCAAAGACTGACGGCGACACGCTACAACCTGCATGCAGATAGGTAAAGTGCCGCTCCGCCCCGAAGGGCGGGAGCCTCGGAGAAGCTCGGGACGTCGACGCTGTCGCGCCGAAGCGTGGTGGGCCGGAACTGAAGGGGCCCTGGGACACACAAATAAATACACACAAATAACAGGATCCCCCATACTTTCCCATATGTTCTGGGTGTTTGCCTTCCCCCACTTCCCCCTATTTCCCCATATTTTCGGGGGAATCGCCGGTTAAATCGTGTCTGTGTGTTCTTGCTCCCTCCTGAAGAGCTGGCGGAGCGACGCGCTGTCCAGAAGCTCTGGACCGCCAGGAGCGGCGGTGGCTGCGTCGCCGGGCACCAGAAGTCGGAGGGGGAGGAGGGAGGAGGGGGAGGAGGAGGAGGAGGAGGAGGAGGAGGAGGAGGAGGAGGAGGAGGAGGAGGAGGAGGAGGAGGAGGAGGAGGGGGGGGAGGAGGACCCCCTCGCCCCCCCCCGCGCTCTTGGCAGCGTGCGCCGTGCTTCGCGTGCGAGGGGCGGAGGCGGCAGGCGCTCCGCGGCTGGAGAGATGTCCAGGTCGGAGGCGAAGGAGGGAGGAGGGAGGAGGGAGGACGACGTCGAGGAGCCCCTGCCTCCTCCCCCCTCCTCTTGGGCGCCCGAGTTATCCGGGGTAACTCGGGTCCGGGGTAACTCGGGTTCGGATTCCCGAAAAAGGAACCCGAGTTAGCCCTGACCCGAGTTACCCCTGATGATGTGGGGCTCTGGACGCCCGAATTATCCGGGGTAACTCGGGTCCGGGGTAACTCGGGTTCGGATTCCCGAAAAACGAACCCGAGTTAACCCTGACCCGAGTTACCCCTGATGATTCGGGGCTCTGATCCTCTTCCTTGGCCCGTTTCCCCTCCTCTTCGCGGGCGGCGAGGGTAATATCCGTCTCCGTGCCCTCGCGGTCTGGACTCCAGGGTACGGTTCCGCGGATACTCGGTCGCGCGGGTTCGTTCCGCGCGGGGCGTCCGTGAACCAAAACGCCCCGTACCCGCGGGGTAGCAGCTCCGGGGCCTGGCTCGCGAGGCCGCGGATACAGAGATGTTTTTTGCTCGCCCACGACCTCCCCCGTGGGAGTAGACCCTCTCTTCCGACGTCGCAGTCTTCTCGTGACGTGGCCCCCTTGGGATCCCGACCCCTTCCCCGAGGCTGGCCTTCGTCCCGATTACGGTCCTGCCGGCACGCCCGAGGTGGGCACGGGCAGCGTAGGTACGATGCCCAACGGCAACTGCCATCCAAGACCGGCAGCGGCCGATGCTGGGCAGGGGACCTTTTGCCTGAAGTGGACAGCGTCCGCGGCGACACCGACAACGGGTCCTGCTCAAAGTTGGCAGGAACTGCCGTTGATAGCTGTCCCCACTGTTTTCGTACGACAGGTTCGTGTCGTGACGACCCCGGCGTTGGTTTCTGATATTACGTGGATCGCTCACCCTTGAACGATCGGCAGCGCTTCGATCGCCAGGTCGATCAATGTTGGCCGATTCTGGGCCACTGGCCGCATACAACCTTGAACGCCCCTGGCGGGATCGCCGCGGCGTTGACGCGACGCGAACCGACCGTACCCACCTCGATCGTACAGATCCCCTGAAAATTGAGCATGGATCGACCGTCCTGGCATTCCTATAGGCCTACCACGATATGTTCTTAGAACCCAGAAATGTTCGAAGTACAAAAATAATTGTCTTAGAACATAAGCCCGATGTGTTAAACCAAGACAGTCCCAGCCAGAACTGTTCTAAGAACTTTTCGTGCAGACCACACAGGGTTATCAGAACATGACTTGGTGGACTTAAGGTACGCCAGGACGCTTGGCCACTGCTTGAGAAAATGGCCCTCCTGGGCCGAGAACGCCCCCCTGGAAGACCGGCCGTCGCGAAGTTTGCTTGCGCCGCCTGGGGGCCGGGCAAGCGGCGTGGCGGGCCGTCGCGCCTGACACCGGCCGGCAACGGACTCGCGAACGTAGTCGTCCCACACCTCATACCGGTGGCGCGCCCGGGGGGCAATTTTGGAGTCCCGAAACGGTGCGGTGACAGACCGTGCGGTGACCTCGAGATCCCCCAAGACCTCACCGTACGGTCCGTCACCGCACGGTGTTGGCACCCTGGAGGCTCCTGTCGCCCGAGACATACTCGGAGAGGGATTCGAGTCCCAAAACCGTGCGGTGACCCCACCGACTCACCGCACTGTGTGGTCACCGCCCCGTTGGTGGGCCCCCGAGCAACAGAGGGGGCGGGCCTTCTCAGAAGGCTCGAAAGTCCCCCGGTCGAAGCCTTCCCCGACGACACACAAAACTTCTCAGAAGGCCCGAGGGCCTCTGAGAAGCCCCGCCGACTTCTGACAGAGCCTGCTCCTTCTCGCTGCCCCCCCTCGCTCGCCGCCGATGATGATACAGTCATCGGCCTGACCTAAGGAACGATAAATAAGGAACGAAGCTCCTTTTTTACCCCAAGGAATAACGCATAAGGAACGATAAATAACAAATAACGCATAAGGAACTGTAAATAACGCATGCAAGCCTAATCAACGACCGAGCCCCTTTTGAAAAGTAAGTGTTCCTTATTCAAGGCGCTCACTGTAGGGCGAGGCCTGCCCTGGGCCAACGGTGGCGTCTGGAATCTCAGGAAGTGTAGCTGGGGCGTTGGCAGCTGTGCTCCAGGCACGGCCCAACCCGTCCCTGGCAAGCTTGGCTCGTAGCGTCCTCCCTGCCTTGCAAGCTTCCCTGCAACCACGCACATACGTCTCGAGGCGAGGCGAGCGGGACGGCACGGAAGCGGATGGTCTGCTAGGGGTCGGTCAGGCCGCCCCTGAAAACTGGTGTGCAACATCGGCTTGAAGGTTAAACTGCGATGCCGAAGTTCTTGGCCACCATTTCGCAATCTCAAGCGGTGATCCTCAGCGCGGGGGTCCTGCGTGGTCCATGCGCAAAAGGGGCCAAACACTAAGTAACTTACGGAATGTTGGTGAGGTCTGCTTGGGTACCATGTGGCTGCGCGGGCAGGCAGCAGCAGCCACCATCGCACCAACCACCAAGCCGTTCGTCCGAAGGTGTCTGCGCCCGCGTGGCTTGGCCAAGGGGGGGACATATATGCACCGCTCCTGGGCCCAGGATGGGCCTGGCCGAGGGCAGTGGATATGCGGGGGAGGTGTGTGCGTGTGTGTGTGCGTGTGCGTGTGCGTGTGCGTGTGTGTGTGTGTGTGTGTGTTTGTGTGTGTGTGTGTGTGTGTGTGTGTGTGTGTGTGTGTGGGGGGGAAAACTCGACGCCTGGGGCGTTCGTGAGAGCGAGAGCGGGGAACCCTCCAGAGGCCCCAGATTAGCGCGAAATTGGCACGCTCCCACGACACGCCGACCACGACATCCTCGATATAGTGGACGTCGGCTGGGACACGTGCTCGCGCCCATAGCTTTGCTGCATTGATCTCGTCGCCCGACACCTGTAAAACGACGCGAAGATCGGGACAAAATCAGATCGGGGTAACTCGAAATCTCTGAGAATCGGCGGGTTTGGAGGATGTATTGGGCGCCGCGGCCGCTCCAGAGCGTTCCGGAACGCTCTGAGAGCGCTCCGGAACGCTCTGGAGCGATTTATCCCGATCCTAGCCCTTTTTTAACCTGGGGCACGCAGGCCAGCTCGATCTTGAGGCAGGGGCGCCAGGATGAGGGATAGGGGGTAGGCAACGACGTATGAACCCTGCCCCTGCAGGTCGGACTCCTGACAAACTGGCTGGGATGCAGAACTTGGCTGATGTCGTCTGCAGCTGGCCTAGCGGGGGTGTCCCATACCCAGGCGTCGATAGGGTCCGTATAGCGGGTTAGGCTTCGCAAGTGGTCGCAGACGGAGAGGCAGAAGGGGGGGGCGGAAAAAGGTGATGCAGAGGGGCGAGGACGGGCGGAGGAACGAGTCTGGCAGAGCCCTTCGGGGGTGGACAGGACCCCTTCGGTGAAGCAGCCGCGGGTCCAGGGAAAAAGGCCCAGTGCGCGGGGGAGGGAGGGGGGCAACAACAGTGATGGGCCAATGTTCCACCACCACTACCAGAGGTAGGACGGGAGAGTGTCTTCCTCCACCTGGCCTGAGGCACGTGCGTGGAAGAGGGGTGCCCGTCTGACGGTCTGAAGGATTGAATAATAAACATAACAATACAATTAAGAAGGGCGAAGCATACATATATATGTATACATATATACAGGTGCACATATATATATATATATATATACATATATATGTTTACAGTCGGACTTCATTGGACAGGACACGCGAGGGGACACAAGACCCTTCCGGGGGCCACGTCGCCATTGGAGTGTAAGAAGGCACGTGTCGCGAGGCACAGGACACAAGGGTACCGTTGAACTGGCAGGGTCGACCTACTAATCCAGGCCGACTGTATATATATATATATATATATATATATAATACAGCTGCACATCGAGATATACATGTGTATGGGAAGTCTGTAGCTATCATGGCCCCGGCCATGAGATCCATATCCCCCCTGGTCGGTCCCCACCCCTCTCTGCGACGCCCCCGACTCGGGGGCGGGAGGCGCCCTGGCTTGGGGAGCGCAACCTTCGGTGAAAGAGGGCCCGGGGCCAGACCCGACGGGCGCAGGCGTGCGGAAGCTGCGGCCGCGGGCCGCGGCGCCCCCTTCAAGGGCGGCACCAGGGGCAGATCGCGAATCGACTTGGCAGGGGGGGGGTCCATCAACCTCCGAACCCTGAAGCCTGGTTTTTTTTTCTGTTACTTGTGGGGGGGTGTCGCCCAGTTGCGGAGCCCCTCGCGTCCTCACGGATCGATCGGGCTAGAGCAATGCAGCCGAACGATGAGGTCGAAGGGTCCGTTTGTGATGTCTCACGACATTGATTTCTTCGCGACGTCAGATCTCAGGGTTGCCCGCCCCCTGCTCCAGGCGAAGGAGGAGGAGGAATAGGATAATGAAAAGGAGGAGGAGGAGGAGGAGGAGGAGGAGGAGGAGGAGGAGGAGGAGGAGGAGGAGGAGGAGGGGGAGAGAGGGAGGAGGATGAAGGAGGAGGAGGAGGAGGAGGAGGGGGAAGAGGAGGAAGATGACGGAGGAGGAGGAGGACGGAGGAGGAGCAGGAGGAGGATGACGGAGGAGGAGGAGGAGGAAGAGAAGGATGAGGAGGAGGAGGAGGGGGAAGAGTAGAAGGAGGAAGACGACGGAGAATAGACGGAGGAGACGGAGGAAAGACGGAGGAGACCCCGGAGACGGAGGATACCTCAGAGACGGAGAGCACGGGGACCCGGAGGAGACGGGAACTCGAGCGAAGATGCTGCGAGTGAGGTTTCTGAGGGTGTCTCCAACGAGAGCCTCATGTCGAACGAAAAACGTCTTAACCACACGGCATCAACATCTCAATTGTTCGAGGATGTCTCCGGCGAAACGGCAATCTCCAACGACCCGCTGAACTTCGCGAGCGGGTTCCGAACCTCATTGTTCGAGGATGTCTCGAGCGAGAGCCTCAGTTTTAACGAAAGGTGTCTCAAACATACGATCTCAATATGGCAATTATTCGAGGATGTCTCGAGCTTGATGGGAATCCACCAAATCAAGTGTCCCTCGCGACTTAGCTCTTCGCTTATACCTTAATCAGCAATTCCAGAACACTCCCATCACCTTCTCGTTCCGCAAAAAGCGCTTCTCGCCACCCGCCGAGCGGAGAATACCTTGTTTTCATAGCCGCGAGCTAGTTGTCCCTCGCGTCTTAGCTCTTTATGTTTACCTTATTCAGTAATGCCAGACAACTCCCATCACTTTCTCGTTCCGCAAAGGCGTTTCCCGTCATCCGCCAAGCGATTGATCTTTACACCCGGCGGCCAGTTGTCCCTCGCGTCTTAGTTGTTTATTTATACATTATTCAGTAATGCTAGAACATTTCCATCACCTTCTTGTTCCGAGAAAGTGCTTTTTGAAGACGCAACCTCAACACTGAGGTCTAGCGAGCATTCACATAACCAACCGCAAGGTCACGAAGCTTACCACCCACTGGTGGGAAGCCCGCGCATCAGCACGCGACCCTCTGGCCACGAGCTGCCGGCGAGCAGTGATTTCCAAACGGCGCAACGCATCGTGTGCAGGAGAAACATAGTGCAGCATGGCGGGAGCCGTCCTTACCAGCAACGCGCGAAGTCGGCAACGCTCCAGACTACACAAGCGCAGGGCTGCGGGCTGAGCCAGACTCAAAGCAAGAAGAAGTAGAGGAGGGCGGGCGGGGAGGCACACGCGTTGACATAAATTTTTAAAAAGGACTAAGCCAGGCGCCCGCAGAAGGTTTTACTGAAGAAGTGATCGCTGGTGCATGCAACCTGGTGGACTCGCCTGAAGTAAACCCAACATCCCAATCTACCACTTCGCTTCCTTGAGCTCACGGCGCGGTGCGAGGAGCATGGTCGCCGTCGACCATACGCCCCGCAAGCCCCTGCCACTTCAACGCCCCGCAGGGTTGTGGAATGGATGCGATCAGCACGCCGTGACGGTCAGTCGCTCCGATCCAGCAGCGCGATGCCTGGAACGAATTCCTCGCTGGCAGCGGGCGCCGCCTTCGAGGCCATCGAGACCTGCCGCTGGTCGCTCTCGGTCACCTCCTCCTCCAGGGCGGCTCCGCGCTCTCGAAGTGCCGGGGGCGTCGGGGCGTTTGCCCTGCGGGCGCCCCTTGTGCACCTCGTCCGCCTCCGCGGCCGCCGCCGTGGCGGTCTTGCCCTCGGAGTCGTAGGGCCCCGCCGCGCGGCCCATGCCCAGCTTCATCTTGGCCTTGCCCTCGGGCTCAGGAACCTGCGGCAGGATGCCCTCGGCCACGTGCGTCTCCACGGCGGCGTCATAGGCGCCAAGCACCAACTGTCGGTGATCCATGGAAGCGACGGCGTGGTGCACGCGGTCCTGGAAGCGCAGGGCGTCGCCGACGGCGGTGGTCGCTGGGCCGCCGCTGCCTGGGGCCTCCGCCTCTGCCGCGGACCAGCGCTGCC